GAGGGAGGAGTGGGGCACCCGGAAAAGTTGAGACCGCGGCAGAGGGTTGTGGTCCCATGGCCGCAGTGACCGGAGTTTGGGTGGTTGTGCCCATAGAGTGAGGAGAGGCCTGACCCATGGCTGCCGTCGCGCTAGGAGCGTGGACGGTCACCAAGATGGTCGGGTCGGGGGCAGCGGAGGAGGAAGCTTCATCGTCGCCACCATGTCAGAGGACTGGGGACCTAGACAGAGAGTCAGGAGAGGAGAGAGGGTTAGGAGAAGCATCGTCCTGGAGTTGTCACATGCGAGCGGCAAGAGTCGCCACCTGCGCTTGTAAAGGTGCAAGGGTCGCCAATTGCGTCTAGATGGGCGCGAAGAGGGAGGTGAGGAGAGTGTGCAGATCCCGTTGGGGCTGATGGCCCTGGTCCGCCGGCACGGATGTGGAGCCCGGTGTCGATGTCGTCGTTGCTTCGACGACTTGTGACACGTCGTCGGCCATAGGGAGGTGACGGGCCGGAGGAGGTCCGTGTAAGCGGAGGGCGTAGGGGGGGTCGGCGGTAGAAAGCGACGGGCTGCGCTAGTGAGTCGAGCGGGGGCGTCGTCAAAGGGGGGGGGGTGGCTCGGGTCCAGGGTGCCCGAATAGGAAGGGGAAGTAAGGAGAAGAGGCGATGGGAGAGTAGAGGGTTAGGAGAACCTTAAACCCTAGAAAAAAACTAAGAAAATCATAACTAGAGTTTGAGTGGTTAGGGTACGGTAGCGGTGACCTAATCAAGAAGAGAAAATGACCACCGTGGAGGGGAAGGGGAAAGAGAAATAAGTAAACGCCAAAATTTTGAGATAGAAATAAAAATTATAAATAATAAAAATAGTTAAAGAAATAAAGAAATAATATTTATTTTTTTCGAATGTTCGAGAGCATTTCCCTACCCCCCATGGAGTCAAGAATGTGCCAAGAGGAAGAAGAAACCAAGATAAACACACTAAGTTTCAAAATGCCGCAAATGGTAATTTTCAAAAAAATAATAAATAAAAAATCATCAAAAAATAAATAAATGGGGAAGTGGAAAGCGAAGAAAAATAAGTGTTGGATTTTTCAAACATTTTGGCAGCATTTCGTTACCCCCATGGGGTTGAAGTGTGTCGACAAAAAATATGACTAAGTAAGATGAGGGAGAGTAGGGAGAAAAAAGAAAATTTCGGCAGCACTTCGTTACCCCCACGGGGTCAAAATGTGCCCGGAGAGCTGAAATAACTAAGTCCTAGACAGATCCAGAGGTGCCGCAGAAAAAATTCAAAATTTTCAAAATAAATAAAAATAGAAATAAAATAAATCAGAAAAATGAAAAAATAAGTAGAGAATAAGAGAATTCAAAATTTAAAGAAAAAAGCTAGGTTACCAATGGTCCGGGGGCCGGTCGTGTACCCTGGACGTCTCCCCCATACGTCCGGTACCCCCGTCGTCTGGGAAAAAAAGTTTTTTTTTTTTGTAAAAAAAAATATATTTTTTTTTTCGGTTTTTGATTTTTAACTCATGACTGACTGCGAATTTGAACATGAAACCAAGGCAAAAGTTGCTTGTATTGTTATGTTACATAACATATATTGTTTTCAGATTGTTTTGAGAAACTTTTTTTGGTTTTTTTTTTTTTTTTTGCGCTAGGTCGGACAACCCCTGCCCAGTCGGACGTCGGACCAGACGTCCGGTCGGACATCCCGGACAGTCGAGGGGGTCCCGGACGTCCGATCCAACAACCTAGGAAAACAGGGAATTTAAATCAAAAGAAAAACAGAAAGAAAAAAACGGAAAAAAATTGAAGTTTGGGGGGAGAGGGATGAAAAAGTGAAGAAGAAAGAGAGAAACAGGTGAGAAAGAGAAAAAGATTGAAGTGGGAGATGGGGGGGATGATGGGGTTGTAGTTGGGGGAGGAAAGGGGAAGAGTAGGGTGGGAGAATGAGAGAGAAAGGGATGAGAAAGGTGGAGAGGAGTATAAGAGATTAGTAGAAGATGGTGAGTGGGGAGGGGAGGAGAGAAAAAGATGTGGAAGATGAGTGAAGAGGGAGGTAGGAGGAGAGAGGAGTGGTAAAGTTAGGAAAAGCGATTAGATGGTGGAGGGGGAGGAAAGAGAGAGGGGGGTTGGGAGAGTAGTTTAGTGGGGAGTGATGATACAAAGCTCTTGGGTGGCCAAAAGCAACAAGATCACCAAGATTTGGCCTTGAAGATGTTGGCGGCCTGCTGCTGCAGCAAAAAAATAATAATAAAGTAATCAAGGGTTGACCGAGATCTTGATCAGCCACCCTGGTTGCCCTGACGCGCAGCCCCCTCGCCAGGGGGGTCTTCACTATTGGCAAATTGCTGGTGCAGCAGTACAAAAAATAATGGTCAGCATCATCATCATCAGCTGGGTGTGTTGAGATCTTGATCAGCCACCCTGGTTGCCCTGACGCGCAGCCCCCTCGCCAGGGGGGTCTTCACTATTGGCAAATTGCTGGTGCAGCAGTACAAAAAATAATGGTCAGCATCATCATCATCAGCTGGGTGTGTTGAGATCTTGATCAGCCACCCAAATTGGGCTGTACTGCAGCACCCTAGGCAAGGGGGGTCTTCAGCTCCTCAGCAAGCTGCCACGTGGCACTGCAGATGGCCATGTGCGCAGGCAGTAGCATCCACGTTGCCTCCGCCGCGGAGGGGACGGGGGGGTAAATAGTTGGGACAACACTTCTTCAACACCAGCATACCGCATTACTAAGCCATCCAGACACTTTGGCCAGTGTGTTACGGCACCAGCTACGCACGCGTATGGCCAGCAGCTGCCCGGGTTCAAACCCTGGCAGCAGCATGCATCCCGGATCTTAATATAACTAACCCGGGAGCGGGCCAGGGCAGCGGGGGCAGCATGGGCGCAGGGCGTGTGCGTGTGCGGCGACCTTGGCCTTGATGCTTGCGCACTCTCGTCGTGACGAGCCTCTCTCTTTTCGTGCCACGTGTCACTCCCTTGTTGTTGCACATTCTGTCACTTTTTCCCGTTGCTTTTCTTTGAAAACAGCCGAAAACAACCAAAAGTCTACTTTCGGGTTTACACCGTGTTTGCACAATGTGCGGTGTGGTGGGTGGGCACGGGGAACGTTCCTGCTCTGATACAAGTGTGGCGGACCCACCGGGTGAGGTGCTCTGTCAGGGATAGAGATGAAGATGGAGGATGAGGGTGGAGCAAGATGACACAGCACAACTCCCTCGCAAGACTCCAACGCAAGTACTCCAAACAATGTGAATGTAGAATGATCCCAAGTACAGACTCTGGTTGGGGTATACCCCAGCGGACTGACTGGACTGGACTGGAGTCATTGGACTGGCTGGTACCGACAGAGGTATCGGCCTGGACTGGACTACCCCTAATACAACACAGGCATGTGAGAACAGGCCAAGGGGCTGGTCTCGCAGGCCAGCTAGACGTCCGCTACAGTTTCGTACCTCGAACGCCGATCATAGTAGTTAGGGGTGTGGCCGAGGATTTTTGGCCGGTGGGGTTGAATCGTCCGGGTGGAGCGAGGGATTTTTGTTTCGGGTCGAGGGTTGCCTTTTGGGGTTCAAGCCGTCGTCGAGGGTAAGGGACGAAGAGAAAAATCATTCTGGAGCATGGGTTGTGTTTTTGTTATTAAAAAAAAAAAAAAGCGAAGATCTGCTACCGTCTTGCTTTTTGGCGGTGTTAATTAGAGGTATACAGAGTGTAGAGTGTGAATTTTGTGAATGGTTGTTGCTTTTGCTCGTGTGTTGGTCCATCACGTGGGTTGCTGATTTGTATTTTAGTTAGGGTTGCTGATTGGAGGTGCATAGGGTATAGAGTTGGAACTCTGTGAATCATTTTGGGATTCTGTCCGTGGGTAATTAGGATTAGATCATTGACAATCTTGTTTTCGTGCTTTTGGTTGGTGATTCTTTACCTGGCTTGGATTTCACTAGATTAGGGTTGCTTAATAATGGCGGTTTGGAGAAGGGGTGTATTAAGATTTCGGTTTCGGAACGTGATTTTTGTTTTAGGGTTGGGGTTGGGTTTGGTTGTCCTTTTTTTTTTTTTTTTTTTTAATACGGGTGACCTACTTAATGAAGTGATAAGAGCATCCCCGGTAAGTAGGCCCCGACGTCGAAGGCTCCATCTATTGGTGGGGAGCTACACCTGCTGGAAATCGGGTCCAGCGTCCCTGTACAATGATGAAAATGTATCTGCTGGAAAACGGGTCCAGCGTCCCTGTACAATGGTGTGAGTGTATGTGCTGGAAACCGGGTCCAGCATCCCTATGTAGAACTGTGTTGATATCTCTAACGATCCATGTCTGCACTTTGAACAGTGTATTTCAGATGATGGGAAACCCTATCCCTCTGATCTACAGTATCTCCGAAACAAATTGAGGCATGGATCCATATCTTCTCTATCAGGCGAAACCCTAACCGTGGTGTGATGTGTATTATATTTGTATAGTTTGTGTCAGCTGGAAACCGTGTCCAGCGTCCCTATACAGTGGTGTGTGCCTATGTAACTATGTCCCACAGTCCGAAACTGTCTATATATCTATATATCATGTATCAATCAAAATGTCATCACGAAACCCTAAGCAGGATATGATGTGTGTGATGCTTATCAATCAAGCCTAAACACGCAGTTCTATCAATGGTGATATATGAATGATGTGGACACCAATGCATTATCGTGTTATGGTGTGAGACTGACAGGAGGCATTGATTACTTCCCTGCACAAGGGAAGGATTAACCTCTTGCGAGCTAACCCTAAACAGCCCAGCTCCAACCCACGGGGTGATCAGCACCCTATTGATGTTTGATATTGCGGACCGGGCAACACCAATCACGACCGACTATCCTACTCCTATCCTCTGCCAAACGACGTGGAGCAATTCCGTATCGAGGTTGGAGGGGGGGAAGACAGTAAACCATTTCTCCGTGTCAACTCCAATCCCCCCCCCCCCGCCCGCTTGCGGCATCACTCCCATCACGCTGATAATAATCTATTAATCTCAGATGCACGGATACCGCTTTCTACCCCCTGTCTCTTATACACATCTAGATGTGTATAAGAGACAGCCTATACCGTCATACAAGGCAATGTCCGTCAAGTGGACGAGTGGTGCGCCACCGTTTTGGCGGCGAGGAGATCGAGGAGCAGAGGCTTGCGCTACGGCCGAGTAAGTCGGCGCAGATCCTGGAGAAGGGGGCGCAACTTACTGTACGCCCAGGCCGCATGGTGGNCCCCCCCCCCTCCTCTTGCGGCATCATTCTCATCATACGGATGAAAATATGAGATGCACGGATACCGCTTTCTACCCCACTGCTTCCATGTCTGTTTCCCCCACCGTCGTCGCTTCTGTTGTTGTTGTTATTGTTGTTGTTGTTGTTGTTGTTGTCAACTCCAATCCCGTCGTCGCCCCCGCCGTCATCGTCGTCGTTGTTGTTGTTGTTGTTGTTGTTGTTGTTGTTGCCGCCGTTACTCGGCATCTCCCTTATCCCATCGATGATGATCACGACTGCACTGACACCGTTGTCTACCCCGCTGCTTCCGTAGTCGTTGCTGCCGCCGTCGTCGTCATTGTTGTTGATGTTGTTGTTGTCGTTGTTGTTGTTGTTAATGTTGTTGTTGTCCCACTCATTTTGGCTGTCACCGCAATTATCTTCGCCGGCCTCCAAACCTCCCTCCAACCAGTCGTCCTTGTCACCGTTATCGCCCATCTCGCCGATCTCGCCAATTCTCTGCCGAATCTCCAGCTGATTGCGTAGATCATGTTCTAATGTAAAGAGAGTTTTGCAAGCACCCATCCTGTCGTCCGCCCTCCTCCAGTCGATGTAGCCCTTAAGCCGGGGATCCGGCCCCTCCTCCAGCTCCCACATAATGTCTAACATCTCCTGGATCCTATCTTCCAACCACTCATCCATCGAAATTGCCCCCCCATCGATCTCCACCCCTTCCTGCCATCGCAGCATGAGCACCCCCACTATCATCTGCAACTGCTTGCGTCCCTCCTCCAGTGTGACTCTCCATTCCTCCACTTGATGTTGTAGCTCCCCCACTGAATCCATCGCTCGCCCAATTAACTGCGCCACTCACACCGTTCTTCTGAACCCCTTGTAATCCCACGGCTGGCACTACCCCTGCTCACATGTCACAGGACGTCCACGTCTCCCAACAGCAGGCACCACGTGGCAACGAGCCACTCACACCTACTGGCCACGTGAGCAGGCCCAGGTGCCGGGGAGCTGTTCTCCCCGGGCGCTTAGTCGAGCCGGGGCGACCGGACCCTGCCGGTCCACCGGCGTCGAGGCGCTAGCGCTAGCGCAGTTCACCTCCAGCCAGCCAGTCCTGACCTTGTGGGGCTGCAGTAGGGATAGGTTTGGCCGAGAGTGCCTTGCTTAGCCCATTTGGGCGCAGCAAATGATGTAAGGGACGTCGGGCCCGTTTCCCGGTTATATGACATCTACTTCGTTCGGATTAAAAAAAAAAAAAAAAAAAAAAAAGATTCCAATGAGGACGTGAAGCTCTTTCCAGCCCCACATACCAGCCAACTGCTGCCTCTCTACTGAGAAGCATATGGCGTACTATTCTTTCGCCTTTTACTAAAGAATGCCATGGGCTGAGCACACTCAGGGGCTCACAACAAAACAACGAGCGTCCAAGTTTAACCGGTCAGTTCCCACCCATGTGATACCCTTTTTTGTTTCCTGTTAAACGGCCAGTACCTTTTTCCACGCTTGGAAATCAAACTTGAAGGAGCGGCGGTTAACACGGAGGCTGTTTCGGCCGACCCCCAGATACATTGGCCGGACTTGGCGCGCAGGGCCGGTGGCCGATGTATGAGAAAGGTACTGGCGGTTTAAACCACCAGTTCGTTTCCCCGCCATTACTTCAGAGTCGCAGCGTGCATGCTGCCGCGTCTCTCGAGAAGTACCGGGGCGCCCTTTCACTTGGCATCCATCCAGGCAAAACGGGCCTGGCTTGCGACACGTTTTGCCTGGATGGATGTCCAGCAAAATGGCGTCCTGGTACTTCCAGAGAGACGTGGCAGGATGCACACCCCAACTCTGAAAAAAAAATGGCTGGGAAACATACTGGTGGTTCAGAAGCAGCTCAACAGTTTCTGTCGGTTCAGAAGCAGCTCCTCATGCAGGCTTGGAGAATGCGCTGCTCGTTCCAAAGAAACCATCACACCTTTGGATTCATGCAGGCACGCTCAGTGATAATAGACACTATCACAGCCAAGACTCAAGAGGCATATCAGGAGCTGCGGCGCAAGCTAAAAGAGAAGCCGGGGGCTGCCAAGGAACAGGAACTCGTTGACACATTCAACTCCACATGGACAAACAACCGCAATAGGATGTGCAGCCTCGATCTAGAGGCCCAGTTGCAATGGCAGCCTTGGCCAGCGACAGAAAGACTGTGGCAGCGCTTGCCACAAACCCAATTCCAAGTGAACTATCTACTGACGAACTTCACACTCATCCCGAATGAAAACCGGGACAGCCTACCCACATAACCCTTCCTTCCCCCTGTACCAGCCTTCCCCCCCC